GCATTTTAAAGCAAGCATGAATATAGTTCTTGAAAATTATAAACAGGAATTATAAAGCTATAAAAAGATGAAGAAGATTGTGGCGCAGGAAGTCTCAGCCGGTCACCAGGGCGTGGGATGTAGGGCTTAGCATCTTCTCTTCTCTTCCAAGAATGGCTGGTCTCCTCCTCATATTCTATGGAAAGTGATGCATGGGCCTACATAGAATTGATTACCCTGGAGCACCAGGGACTTCGATGTGATTGTAATTCACAGGAAAGGGCAAAGAAGTGGGTCTCTGTTCACCCTGCGGTTAATATGGGGGAGGGCGGAAAGTGAGGCGTCCCTGAGGCAGACACTGTACCAGGCTTCTACATTCTTCCCGCCCTCCTCTGACATGTGGGGAAGAGAGAGAGAGTAAGGAGCAGCCACCACGCAAAGTGTCAGTCTCTTTCTGATACGGAGAGAGAGCATGAGGGTTGTGACGCTCAGGATGGTGCCCACGTGTCTGTGAGCAGGTGGAATTCTGGGAGTTGGAGCTCGAGGGCTGGGTTACTCTCTGGCAGGTGGTAAGAAGGAAGTGAACACCCAGCCTTCGAGAGAAGCAAACGCTCGGTTCCGCTAACTTTGCTGGGGTCATCCTCGCCTTGTCCTTGCCCTCGCTCTGCTCTTGGTTATGTCTTCTCTGGTCACCCTGACACTGGGCTTTTCTTTCTAGTTCTAGTCCTTGAAGCATCACGCTAGGTGATGACAGGCTCTCTTCTTAACGCAGGTGGGGTCTGTTACTGTGAACACACCTCCAAAACAGTGCAGCTGAACCCCTGCGTGCGGCATGCTGGATCTTCTTGTGCACTTGTCTCCAGCTGCGCCATCTCCCCTCCACTCTGGTCCTTGAAGAGTCGCCCCTACTCTGAACTTTCTGACTTTCCTGTAATCCCCTGTGTCAGAAAAGATACAGGGGATGACTTCAGGCATTTTCAGTTTGTTAAAAATATGCTAATCCCGGCCCTCCCTGGTGGCGCAGCGGGTTAAAACGCAGCACTGAGAAGCTAAAGCCACTTCCGCATGAGTTCAATTCCTGCCTGCCCGGGAGGTGACCACATGGTGCGGCAGACCTCTCCTGACCCGCCTGCTGCTCCCCTCAGCAGTGTACTTCGTTGATCTGCCTGTTCTGTTCCCCACTCTGTCTCTGGAGAAGCCTCTCACTGCCCCTGAGCCTCTGGCCTGTACCCCAGTTCTGTATGCACAAATAAATAAATCTTAAAAAAAAAAAAATGCTAATCCCAACCATGTCCCCTGAGTTGGGAGAAACACTCCAAGTGTCCGCTGAGCCCAGTTGGTCTAAAGTGTCAGTCAAGGCCACTATGTCCTCACTGACGGAGTCTGGACGGTCTGTCCTCTCACAGCGGGGACACAGTTCCCTGCTTCTTGTCCGGCTCTTTCTCTCGTTGGCTCTGTGAATATGTGCTTAAATACCCAGGTGCTGTGAGCTGTGTACAAATGTGACTAGAGCCGCTTTTCTGGGACTGCTGTAGTATCTCTCATAGGCTCCCTTCCACCTAAAACTGGTCATGACTTCACAGAACATTACGGAACCTTCTACAGAAGTTCCCACACACCCTCTTACTTGCTCTATACTGACTGTCTGTATTTAAATTCCACATGATGCATGCAGACTTCTCTACCAAAGTGAAGACTTGAGGTAATCATCCTGTGGTTTCCAATATTGGACTTGTTGGAAAGATTTTCATGTGCTGCTTTAATAGATTTTTATATTTATGTTATATGCATTACATATATATTTTATATCATGCATATGAATATATTTAATTATTATGTTTATAAAGTGTCCGGCTAAAAGACACGCAATGGCCATACGGACCTGCTATTGATAAATCCTCTCAACTTTATTCAGCTTAAAGCCTGCACTAACAGTTGTTTCCAGATGGACCTGTTTGGGAAGGGTTTCAAGGTGAGATCCAGGCCCAAGCGGACCCTGCAGGAACCACCGCCACAGTCCCCTTATGACAACATCAGCTCAATTCAGATCCCTGGTCCCCAGGTGGTGCCCGCTGACTGCAGCGCCGACAGGGGTGTTCCAGCTCTCCCCAGGGGGCCCTCCAGGGGAAGGGTGCTATCTGGGCCCTGTCATGGACCCTTCCCCGTTCTCTGTGATTAGCGTTTTCCAGCACTCGGGACACTTGTTCAACTGTGGGGTCTCCGCATTACAGACCCGACACCCACCTCCCCCAGGGGTCACCCCAGCACTTGGGCCTGGCACCATTTTAAATGACACTGAGTGACCACCACACGCTAGGAATGTTTTGGTATTAGTATTAGCGCAGCTTCACAAAATGCAGCTTGGCAAATTAACACCTGCACTCATGTGCCTTTGCAATGTGGAGACCCTCTGCCCTGAATGTAAATGGGTGATGGAAAAGATAAAGAAATAAAGTCTCATGGCCCCACGGTGTCTGTGGTCCCCATAACTGCGGTCCAGTCTGCTCCATTGCCGGCGCCGGCAGGCACATCACCTCACTCTACGCAGAGGGGCAGAGCGCGTCCGCACGGCTCCCACAGCAGCCTAGGCTGGACTCTAGACTTTCCATTCTAATTCTTTCTTAGTCATCCAGTATTTTACTCCATTTTTTATGGAATCATGACTGCTTAACTGAGGTAATGACTGACGTCATATATGAACAGGAATGTGCTGGATTCAATTCACAGATTTTCTTTCACAGCAGGAAATGGTCCAGCTCCTGAAGTTTTGCGTATGTGTTGGTGGGTGTGAGACCCGTGTTCATGTGCGGGGCACACTCCTACCTCCCCGAAGGGCCCCAGTCTGGGAATCTGACTGTGGGGGGCAGCACCAGCCTCCTGTCATCCAGCAGGAGGCTCTGGAGCTGAGGCTGGGGCCCTGCAGGGGTGTCTGGAGGGTTGGGAGCAGGATTGAAGGGACCCCAGTCCATTCTGTGAACCGTCTCCCCTCCGAGGCTGGGTCAGGCCAGTGAAGATGCCTCAAGTGTCCACCGAAACTCCCCAGGGAAGGGCCATCTCTTCTGGCTGGGGTCCCACCAGGTAACCAAACCATTGGGTCACTTGTCATGACTCTAGGGTGCGCTGACAGTGTCTGTTGGAGCGTCTGAGTGGAGGAAGGAGGTGGAGGAAACAGAAACAGGGACCGTGCCCACATATGCCCACCCTGGGGCCCGTGTCACCGTCTTAATTGCTGCAGGGTCAGGGTCTGTCCAGACATGGAGGGTCCCTATGGCCCCTTCAAGCCCCAGACCTGGGAGGACAAAGGTCCCACAGCAGCTAGAGGGTCTGCAGGGGGCATCCCATGGGCAGGGCTGATGAGCAGCTCCTGGGGGGTCCCCGGCACAGGTGTCCTTGCAGGCAGGTCCCTGTCTGGGGTTCATGCTCCAGGTCCAGGTCCTGCTCAGATCTCCTGCCGCAGACGCGTCACCCCCTGGGCTCAGTGCCGTCTCCCCTTAGACATCAGTCACCGCCTCCCTGGGGCTGGGCTGCGTCTCAGCTGTTAGCGCCGCGGCCTGAGTTCGTCCCGGCCAGGGAGAGGCTCACACAGCACAGCAGACTTCTCCCATCTCCCCACTAGCCCCTCAGCAGGGATTACAGTCAATCAGCCTGTTCTGTTCCCCGCTCTGTCTCTGGTGAATCCTTGCACCTCTCCCCCACCCCGCACCTCTGGCCTGTACCCCAGTTATTCTATGCATAAATAAATAAGTTTTTAAAACATAAAGCTGGTCCCAGAAGTGAGCTGTCATGAGCAGAATGAAGGACGAGGGCGGTCACGGCGATGGCTGCAGGAGGCATGTTTCCCCGGGAAGGAGACCCCGTCCTCAGGGCTAAATGAAAGGTAGCTCAGTGTGCATCAGCATTTCGATCGCCTTTTCTGATCCCGAGCCACGGCAAAGGCCAATCATGGGCTATGTCGGCATTTCATTAACAGCTGTCAAGGATGGATGGCTGGGCTCATCTCTGGCAGACTCACATGTTGTTACTTATTGTAAATTTATGAGGTTAGTTTTTGAAAAGATTTTTCAAACATGGTAACTGATGATATTGAAAAAGTCCTGTGAATACTCTTATTCTTCCTAACAGAGAAATGGGGCCTCACTCCAGGTTCGAGGCCTCAGGCTGGCAGTTGGGGGAAAGTATGAGAGAGAAGCCAGGTCACATATAGAGCAGGGACTGATTCCACACACGTAAAGAAGGCAAAATCGTGAAAAAAAGAATCAAGAAGTGAGGCGAGAATCTGAATGTGAGCACAGTGCTCTCCAAGGAGACAGACGCCGGCCAGAGGAGGAAGGGGCACATCATCACCCCCTGAGACGGTCACCCGGGGACGGGGCCTCACACGGGGGCTGCCACGGAGGGACAAGACGGAGGTGAACGACGATGCACCGGGAGGGGCCCTCACACACTGCTGCAGGGAATGGAAATGGATGCTGCCGTCCCGAAATTCTGGGAAGACCCTCACTGCGTCAAGAAGAGAACTGCAGGAGGAGCCAGCCTCAGGTGGGTGAAGATCCGAGGCCACGAAAACACAAAGGGAGACACATGCAAGCACGCACAGGCCCGCAGGGCCCACAGCAGCCCAGGGTTCAAACAACCACATCCGCAGCAATTGGCAGGGACAGAGAAAGGGACGCACGGCCAATGAACACTACGCCGCTGTGAAGATGGCAAACCGCACACGTTTCAAACTAATGAACGGAACAGGGAAAGGTGCTCACTAGAAAAAGTCAGACAAGTAAAAACACTGTATGATTTTACTTTATGCAGAAAGCAAGCACATGCATGAAGCAAAGAGCTGAAATTTGTTCTCTGACAATAAGCTGCAACCACCACCAGAAGGGAAGGGGACCGGTGGTTAGCAGGAGACGCACAGGGATGAACAGGCTCCCGAATGCAGACACCATCACACGAGGGGAACAAAAGGCTGCAGGGAAAATGGTAATGAAACGGGCAATCCCAGAGCTGAGGCTGCTGCTGAGAGGTCAGGAGCAGAACCTTGCCCAGCTGGAGTCTCTGAGGGTCATGAGGAAGGGGCAGAGAGAGGGGAAACAGCACACCAGGACTTCAGAGACCTGCGTCAACAACAGAGGGGTGTCCAGGAAGACAGTCATGTAACACACAACCGCGGAATTCAGCAGGTAGAAGCTGACGAAGGTGCCCGTCAGCCTGAGGATGGTGCGCGTGGCCCTGGTCTCCGGGGGGCACCCCTGGCCGGGCCTGGGGGTGTGGAGGTGCCGCACCCTCTGCTGGTGACTGCGCAGGAGCAGGGCCATGGAGACGCTGGCCCAGCCCATGAGGCCGATGAAGACGGCGTCGGGCACCAGCCACAGGACCACGATGGCACGGCTGGCACCTGAGGACCAGCAGAACCACCTGCCCTGAGGCTCGGAGCCGTTGCTCACCCTCCCTGGGCCAGTGACCACGACGGGGATGTAGACATTGATGAGGGCACTGAGCAGCCAGCAGGCGCAGCAGGAAGCACCCAGGGCCTTGGGGAGTCTCCGGAGCACCGTCCACCCCAGTCTCCCGGGGCTGAGAGTGAGCAGCTGCGAGGTGCTCAGGAGGCAGGTGGAGCACAGCGAGGTGCTCCGGCCTGTCCTGTGGAGAAAGCTTACAAGTTTGCACCCCAGCGAGGACAGGGGCGTCCGGGAGACCCAGGCGGCCAGGAGGTGTGGGAGCCCGGTGGAGAGGAGAACCAGGACGTTGGCCACGGCCAGGTGGGGGAGCACGGTGCTGGGGGGCGTCTGCCTGGGCCCACACAGGTCGGGGACGTGGTGGAGGAAGAGGACGGCGTTGCCCAGCGTGCCCACCCCCACCTGGAGAAGGAAGAGACAGGTCAGGGCCACGGCCCCTGCGGGACCCATGGCGGGGAGCTGGGGAGACGGGGAGAGGGCCGTGGGGCGGCCCTGGGCGAGGGCAAGCGCAAGGGAACCCAGCATGAGGACCCTGGCACAGGGCGTGTCCAGGAGCGGGTCTCCTGGGCTCTGGTTTCCCTCTGGGGGGGGACCCCGGCTGGACGTCGCCTGTCACGTCTCTCCTCCCCGTTTCCGACCCAACTTTCCCAGATCGTGTGTCCCTGACCCTGGCCCCTGTGCCTTGGGGACGACAGTGACGGACACTGGGGTGGTAACTTGGTGAGCTCAGGTGAGCACAGGACAGGCCACTCGCCAGCTGCATCACCCGGGGCTGATCCGGAGCTGCAGGAGCTGAAACAGCAGACAGGACTCAGCGCCTCAGGTGCAACTGGCCCAGGACGCCGCCCTGAGACTCCCTGGGGAGGCCTTGCCCAGACAGCAGGCTCCTCCTGGGGGCTGGGGGGGTGAAGCAGCCTCCAGGACCCCAAGCACTAGCTACACCCTGTGTCTGCTGCCCCCAGACCAGGCTCTTCCCCGTCACCCATACATAGCCAGACACAGCCAGGCCCTTCACCGCCCTCTGCGACTGCCCCTCCAGGGCCCCAGGCCTCACCTGATGCGGGTGGGGTCTGGTCACCCAGCCTAGGGGGACTGGCCCTCCACCACCAGGCCCTTGGGGCGGTTGCTCTGGACACCACACAGAGCTGACCTACACCACAGGAGGCCGAGGCTCCCGCCAGATGGGGGTGAGTCACCCCCAGGACAGAGGAAACAGCCAGTCTCTGCACTAATGAGGCCGAGACCCTGGGGGGGCATGGAGGCCCCACGCCAGGCCAGAACAATGAGAAGCCCCCAATCAGGTGGTCCTGATGCCCACTCACGGTGGGGAAGGGCCTGGAGCAGCCTTGGACCTGACCAGAGTGCAGAGGGCAGAGGCCGGCCCTTCCCCAACCCATCCTGCCCTGCCCCTCCTCCTCAGGGCAGTGGGGCGAGCCCCTCCTGCGAATGGTGGCTGGCGGGGCTCGCCCTACTGCCCTGAGGAGGAGGGGAAAGGCAAGGACTAGAGATCAGTGCGTCCACAGAGCCCCGTGAGACACACTGATCTCTAATCCCTCTGTTCAAGTGTGCAAACCACATTCTCACTGAGCAGGGCAGCCGTCGTTATGCAGGAGATTTAGGGTCCCCCACCCCAGCACCCACAGTGCGCACCTGGGGGAGCCAGCGAAACTACCTGTTACAGACGCAGCCAGGAGCCAGGAGGGGCCTCACCTGAGTGTCTCTCCAGATGCCTCCGAGCACGGAGGGGGACCTTTCTGAGCCAGCAGGGAACCTACGGCGGGGTGGGGGGAGTGCCAGAAGCTGGGCAGACAGTGACCCTGGTGCCCGGCACCTCCCACCGCCCCCTCACAGTTGAGCCCAATGCCGGTCTCGGTCTCGCAGGTCCTCAGATGCCCACAGCCCAGGAGGCGCCAGAGGAGCCGCCCAGGATGCCCCGTGCCCCCCGCCCCCAGCCCCAAGGCCAGGGCACCCTGCAGGAAGCTGCACACCGGGTGGGTCAGGAAATCCGGACACGCCGCAGGGAGAGGCAAGAGAAGCACAGGGTCCCGCTCGGGGTTAAGGGAGCCCTGCACCGTGGCTGTGGAGCTGAGCAGCGCGCCCCAGGAGGACACACCTGCACTCCCCCCATGTGCACCCAGGGCAGTAGAGGGAGGCGGGCCATGGGCCAGATGACCAGAGACCCCGCGCAGGAGGGATGGAGGGAGGCGGTTAAGCCAGAGCCACTCTCCAGGGTGGGGAGGCGGGGAGGCCCAGGCCTGTCTCAGCCTTGGGCTGCCTCAGAAGCTGAGTCTCTGCTGGGTGAGGGGCTTCCCAGCCCCCGCCTGCACCCCTGTACCCTATCAGCCCAGGGTCCATGTGAGGTGGAAGACAGGGGCTTCTTCCTCCTGAGCCCAAACCACGGCTCCGTCCTCAGAGCGGGATCCCAGGGTACTCAGAGGAGACCCCAAAGCTGCTGGGCACAGCACCCAGGACCCGGGACCCCCTTTCTCCTGCATAGGTCCCTGGGCCCAGAGCTCGGGGTTGGGAGAGAATTGGGTCAGGTCTCCCTGGTCTCTATGGGCCCCACTACCCTCAGCTGGCAGACGGGGTGGTCAGGGCCCTGGGGCACCCGCCCTGCACAGGCAGCCCGAGCCTCTGGGTGCCGCGCCCTCCCCTCCCCGCCGGCGCCCGCGCCCCTCACCTGGCCTGGCGGCTCCGGAGCTGTGCAGGGAGAGCCGGGGCGCCCAGTTATAGGGTCGGCCTGCTGCCCTCCCCGCTGACCCGTCACCTTGTCACACCCGCAGGGACGTCTGCAGGAGCCAGTCAGTGGCCACGTCTCACCCCCCACCCCAGGTGGGAGCACCCGCAGCAATTAGCAGAATTAGCAGCAGGGCCCGCGGGGCGCAGCAGCACCCGCCCCCTCAGGGCGCAGGTGTATGGGCGGGAGGCCCGGCCTGACCCGTCCTCTCCCGGTGACCTCACCCTGCCGCGCGGCCGCGGCCTCCTTTGCCGCTCCGCTCCCTGTCGCCGGCTCCTGTGTGGGAAATGCCAGGGAGGGCGCTCCCCCAAGCAGTTAGGGTCGGGCCCTGAGCTCTCCTGCAGGCCTCGGGGGCCCCACCTCCTGGGGTCACAGCTCAGGCCTGAGCAGGGTCGGGCCCCCGCAGCAGCGGCTCCACTGAGGACACCGGCACCCACCTCTCACGCGTGTTTCCTGTGTTACCCCTTCCTACCTGCCCCCCCACCCCCAACGTAGCCTGAGCGGGACCATCCTGTCTCGGCAGCACTAGTCACAGGGCACACAGAGGAGTGGGAGGGGGAGCCAGAGGCCGTCGCCATCTCCTGTGGAGGGGGCTTCCTCCACACTGGGGTCTCCCACCTTCAGCAGCACCTCCACCTCCACCGGGTGCGGCACGCGGAGCCGTGGCACCCCTGCTGAGCCGGTGCTGCTGCATCTGCCCAGAAAGGGTGTGCTATGGGGTGCTGGGAGAGCAGCCCCCCGGAGACACCCCGC